ATAGACCACAAAGGCGTGGATTTTTAAAGAATTTTTACAGCCTCCATATAGACCACAAAGGCGTGGATTTTTAAAGAATTTTTACAGCCTCCATATAGACCACAAAGGCGTGGATTTTTAAAGAATTTTTACAGCCTCCATATAGACCACAAAGGCGTGGATTTTTAAAGAATTTTTACAGCCTCCATATAGACCACAAAGGCGTGGATTTTTAAAGAATTTTTACAGCCTCCATATAGACCACAAAGGCGTGGATTTTTAAAGAATTTTTACAACCTCCATATAGACCACAAAGGCGTGGATTTTTAAACAAGTTTTACAGCCTCCATATAGACCACAAAGGCGTGGATTTTTAAAGAATTTTTACAGCCTCCATATAGACCACAAAGGCGTGGATTTTTAAAGAATTTTTACAGCCTCCATATAGACCACAAAGGCGTGGATTTTTAAAGAATTTTTACAGCCTCCATATAGACCACAAAGGCGTGGATTTTTAAAGCCTCCAAACTCTATGTAGAGCCAAACCAAACCAAAACAAACAATTTATTTTATATATTTTTTTCTTAAATTTTATTTTAAAAAATCGCTTAAACTAAATTAAAATTTTGTTTTGACAAAACAATATCACTTAAGCCACCGTCGTAGCAACACTACGTTGAACCAAATGCAAATGATTTTTGATGAAACATGTGGCACCACGATATGCCCATTCGCAGGCATTGCTACCCTGTTCGTTGTTATCAATGCAGGATGCGATTTTAGCATGGACAGCATCATCATGATTGGCCTCAGCATGGGATCCCACCAACTGTTGATGAATATTTTCAACATTGAAGCCTTGGGTGGTATCGAATAAACCGAATTTAACGAATACACATTTCAAATAGCATTGGGTCACCGAATCATTTGGATATTGCCATTGTTTGTATTGTTCGACAAGATTTTCGGGAATCTCTAATTCGGCAATGCATTCATTGCGAAATTGTAGGAGGTTTTCGCGTGTTTTGACAACATAGTCGGCCGAAGTCTAAAGGGGGAAAATTTAAGACAGAGTTAAATGGAAATTTGAAAACTAAAACTGTATAAAAATTTAGAACTTACCACAGCGAAAAACAAACAAACTGCAATGAATACTCCCATGGTGATGATGATGATGATGCTACCTTGGTGAATGATTCAGATGAACTGTGTTGCTTACGAGTTGCTCAAAGGTTTTTTATACCCAAGAGAAATTTGAAAATAAACTACCTGTTTTTACGAAAATGTGTGAGCGCCTATTTGCAATGACGTTGCACATTGACAAGGGTCCTTTAGAAAAAATTATTTAATCCCACAATACCCCTCCTATTTGAAAATAAACAAACTGTGTGTTCAAGTTACATACAGGTAAGTGATTTCATGGTATTTAAATGATCCTCCCACTTAAGTGAGAATTTACCATCTGTATACAATGTGTTTCAGATTAATTTTCACAAGGGATATTTCCTAAAAATTATAATGGTACAATGTTTTTGAATGTTTTTTTTTGCGAACTGAGTACTTGATACTTCGAGTATTTCACAGAGCATAATGGGTTTTGTCAGTTTCTAGGAACCATGAGAAAATTTAGTCATTGGAGAAATATGTTAACGATTGTTATGGGAAAAGGAGAAATAACGTACCGAAATATTGATTCTCATTCGTTTGTAACACTTCGAAATATTTATTGGAGACCATGTTATTTAATATTTGAAACTCTCATTTAATAGAAAATCTTCCTACCAAAAAACAATACTGACTTAAGGGAACCATTCTCGATTTTAAATTTTCAAATTTGTAACTTTGCAGATATATATTTGAAGATTTAAAGGAAAAGAAAAATAATTTACACAATTTTTGTGTTTTTGTTTTTTTTTGTTGTTTTATAGTATTAAAGAAAAGTCCTTATTTTTGATGGCGGGCATGATAACTTCTCATTGGAACATCGGAATCTGAAAATTCCAACAGTGTTAGAAAGCTCTCATATATGAACTAGAATTATAGAATTTGCTCAAAAATTAACAAACATTAAACATTTTCATACCCTTCACCACATTGTGATGCAGGATAGTATACCTTTGTGCACATATTTGTAACAGGCAAAAGGAATCGAGATAGACCCAAGGTTCTTTTATGCATGTCCGTCTGTCCGTTCATGTATTTTTGTGAGCAAAGTACAGGTCGCATTTATGATCCGATTTGGACGTCACTTATTTGGCCCAAGGCGTTTGCACAGTCAGATATGATATCTGTGAAGTTTTGTTGAAATCAGTTCAGATTAGATTTATAAAATCTGTTCAGATTAGATTCGTAAAAAGATATGTTTATTCGATTTACATGAAATTTGGCAGATGTGAGTTTAGAGTAATGTGTTGCGAAAATCGGTTTAAATTTAGATTTATATACGTCTGCTTTGGTGTACAAATGGCGCAAAAAAAAAGGTTTCAAAATGATATGTGTATGGGATTTTTTTTTTATTGGTTCATATATCTGTGTAGATCACAGATTCACTTTCGCCTGATATTTTTTTTAATGGTCCTCTGTTCTATCTACAGCATATTGTACATATTAGCATCTCTTGTATGACTTTTGAACTTTCCTTACTGTTTTTTTCTTTTTGACTTTTAATGACTTAAAACAGCAATAAAATATTAAAATCGAATTTAAAGTATGTCCGAGCCAGAACATCTCGAAAGAGAAATTTACATGAATCTTCCTTCGCACTAAAAATGCATAAAAACTCATCACATATTTCAGTTCGTTGAAATTCACGTGAATGTTTCTTCGTTATAGCCAGTGTTGCCAAAACTTGATAGAGAAAAAATGCTAGATTTTGTTGAAAAATATGCTAAAAAGTGCTAAAAATTTTAGAAAAGTGCCAGAAAAAAGTGCTAAAAATTAATATAAAGATATGTTATTATAGCTTATAATGAGATCTATATTTCTTAGAAAATTTTTTATATACTTAAATAAGAAAATATAAATCAACAGCTATGTTGTGAGGATATTATAAGTAACTTCACGAAATATTGGTACTGGACTCACATTTTATTATACGGATCGTCATATCTCGACTAGCTGAGTCGATATGTGTGTATCTGTCCGTCTGTACATTAACAATTGTAAACAAAGTAACAGTCAAAGCTATGAAACATTGTCACAATATTTTCCATATCCAGGTGTGGCCAGTGGGGACACTTATTGTGTTTGGTAAAATCGGTCAATATTTGCCGGTTGAAGTCAACCAAGAACATTTTATATGTTTTTCTGGTCTCTCTAGAGGTCACAAAATTCTACATAAGAGAAACGCTAATAAATAAGCATATTGATCGAGCCGTATACATTTATTCTAGAAGAACAGAGACCGGGTGTGGGAGCTATACGTAAATATTTACAGGGGCGTACACATTCTAATAGTGTTTAGTATTACCATTACCACACCACCATAAGGTGGAGTCTATACTAAATTTGTCATTCCGTTTGCAACACCTCGAAATATTTACCGGAGACACCACAGAATCTATATATTCTTCATCAGTATTTTGTTTTTGCAAAATAGTCAGGCTGAATCCCAGTTTGTTGTTTGTATAAAAAACAACTATTTATTAGTGGGGAATGTATGGCATTGTTTGCCGAGGGTAAGGCAGGGAAGACTATAGTTTCGGATCACGCCACTGATCCTCATCAGTTCCCTTAGTTTTTTGTTGGGATATTCTCCCCAGAAGCTATTGCTTCTATACAAAAAACCTTTCATACCCAAATGTCTCTTGTAACAAAGCGAAGTACTTAGCTGACCAACGACATAAACTGCATGAGAATTTCGCTGGTGCCTCACTTCGAGGTTAACAAGGCATTTACAAACAATACCACACCTTTCCCACTGTTGTGTGTTGTCACATCGCGACAAATGCACACAACGACTTTGTTGGTGTTGCTAGTATACAGCAACAAACCAAACAATTTAACCGTGCCTGCGTCTACAACTTCAGTAGTGTTGGCGGTTTATTTGGGATACCATTTGTATTTTGGTTTTGCAAAATAGTCAGGCTGAATCCCAGTTTGTTGTTTTTATAAAAAACAACTATTTTTTTTTTTTTTTTTACGTTCGTTCCCACGCCTCACTTTCCCACCCCTGCCGACCGAGGGGGCGACCTCCCCTTTCGTAGAGATCGCGTACGCATCATAATCCGCATTATGATGGAATATGAGAAGGGATAGAAAACCAGCTACAGAAATCTACTTCAACAGCCAGTTTGTTATTAAGTTGTATTATTCATTTAAAAATATGATTATATTAGATTTTATTAGGTCTATATTCATGCAAAAGTCTACGTTAGAATACACAGAATTGAAATCAATACACATTTTACTAAGTGGATCTCCCATAGAATAATTTGTACGATGAAAATCTACGTATAATGGTTGATAATATCTACTTGATCGAAAAGGAACATTTATTCTAATGGATGAAATTAGGAAGTCTGAGGGTATATTACCGCTTAGTATTTTAATTACTATCATAGTGTTCAACATAATACGTCTACTTTTTAATGTTGGCAATCGAATTAATTTTAACCTGCTAGTGTAAGAAGGCAACACAAAGTCACTATTCCAATGTAAACCTCTCAGCGCAAAAATTAGAAATTGTTTCTGCACTGATTCAATTTTATCGGAATAAATTGCATATTGGGGATCCCATACAACAGAACCATATTCTAATATGGGTCGCACAAGAGATGTAAAAAGTTGTTTTGTAATGTAGGGATCAGAGAATTCTTTAGCCCATCGTTTTATAAATCCTAAGACACCGTGGGCTTTGTTTACCATAGAAATAACATGATTATTAAAATTTAATTTTGGATCCATTAAAATACCAAGATCAACAAATGAATCAACAGTTGATAAAACAGTACCATTAATATTGTATTGCCTTGTTAAAGTAGAAGATCTGGAAAAACACATATGCTTACATTTGTTTAGGTTTAAATCCATACAGTTTAATTCGTTATTTAAATCATTTTGAAGTAAATCAGCTTGCTTCATGGAGTTATGGGTGATAAACAACTTGACATCGTCAGCATACATTAGCAATTTGGAGTGGATTATTGCATTTGGTAAATCATTTATAAATAGAAGAAAGAGGAGTGGACTTAAATGACTTCCTTGGGGAACACCGGAAGGAACATTAATGGATTTGGAGAGACAATCATCAAACAAAACTACCTGTGATCTATTTCTCAAATAAGATGATATCCATTTAACTAAATTTATACTGAAACCAATTTGATTTAATTTATATATTAAAAGTTCATGGTTAACCCTGTCAAAAGCTTTACTGAAGTCAGTGTAAATCGTGTCGGTTTGATTACGCTGAATAAAACCTTTTATGACGGTTGAGGAAAATTGAATAAGATTGGTAATGGTTGAGAGGCCACTACGAAAACCATGTTGATATGGACTTAAGATTGGCTGAACTTTATGAGAAATTACATCAGTAATCAGTTTTTCGAATAATTTTGGAATTGCACTTAATTTAGCAATTCCTCTATAATTCGAGACATTAGTTAAGCTACCAGATTTGTGTAAAGGAACTATATAGGATTTCTTCCAGAAGGTCGGAAAATGACTATATTTCAGGGAATAATTAAACAATAGCGTTAAAGGGATAGCTAATGTATCTGAACAGTACTTTAGAATTATGCTAGGAATGCCATCCGGACCTGGACTTTTAATTGATCTTAAATTACGTAGATTTTTAGAAACATATTGACTTTGTAAAAAAGGCATAGATATTTGATCTATCGTCGATAATTTATAACCATATGTATCTTTATTTGGACAGGGTGAATATGAATATGTTGTAGCGAAAAAATTTGCAAAGCACTCTGAAATTTCAGAGTTTTTCTCAAATGTCTGATTGTTGAATTTCAAGATGGTGGGCTTTGACGTAGCTTTTCTTTTTATATTAACAAAGTCATAAAAAGATTTAGGATTGGATTTGAAATTAAGTTTAATCTTGTTTAAATAAAGATTGTAAAGTTTTCAGGACTCTGACGTATATTTAGACCTTGCGACAGCATATTTAGCATAATCTATAGAGGAGCCTGATTTTTTATATTTTTTA